CTGGTCGAAACAGTTAAAAGCTGCATGAGACAGTGATCCATAAATCCCAATTGCAAGAGAACACATTGAAGCTACCAGAAGGTCAGCAGAAATTGAATGGAGAATTACTACGAAACTGTGAAACTGTGGTCCCCTTGAGGTCATGGTGTCGCAAAATCATATAACTCATAGAAAGCATAGTACTGTTTAGGCAATATCATTGAACCTGAGGGCGAAGCAACATAGAGCCCTTTAGCAACACCAGGATACTTTATTACCCCAATTGGCTCACTAACAATAACCTGCAGAGAAGAAAAAGAAGAGCCAATATTTAAAAGTACAAAATATTATATTTGTTAAAAAAGAGCGATCAGCACAAAGATGACAAATGCCTCATTCACTTTGGTGGTTTCAAATAAGATAAGTAGATCCAGATGAGAACTACAAAAAAAACAAAAATCGAGGATCGCTATTGAATGGAGACAGAAGAAATAAGAAGTGAATAATCAGCCAGAGAAGAAAAGACAAGACAAAATGATGCATAAGCACTTAAAGGAATAACTTAGCAACTACATCATATACCAACGGAGAAATTGATGAGGTTTCAAAACAACTGTTCATACAAATACTTTGAGAAATTCAATCCGTTGCTATAGTATATCATTGATTTGTACCGTTGTATTTGATTCTCTGTATAATAGTAGGACATGATCCGTAGCAAGAACTAGGAATTTATCAAGTGAGTTTCTATTACAATAAATTCTGTAGAAATAAATCCATTGACCACAAATCCTAAGCATGAACTGGCGACCCACCTCTAAATTAGGCTACCCTCGCAGGAAATTGGTTGTTACAGTCGGGCCTGACCATAAAATAACGCTTGATGAGTTGCTCAAAACAAATACGGTTTAGTAGAATACCCAACACTAACATCACAAGAGAGATTCAATGTCTGCTACATCTTGGCAAACTGCTAGAGAAGCCCAGTAAGCCTGGATTTCTTTTTCTAATTTTTCTAATCCTTAGGTACTTCTCTATACTTCCACCTCTTTGAAGCTGACCCATGCAACCATGGGCCTATGCTAGGGCCTTGTCATCTTAGGCCTTCTGTTGCTTTTACTAACTACCACCTTATGTCATGTTTCTCTCTAGTCTTCCCATCTTATCTCAAGAAAATGCTTTGCATAGTTGGCAAATCCTGACTTAGCGGTTCGTGTGACTCAACCATCTACCATTCCTCTTTAACTTTCACAGCTAAATATCACCTCAGTGGTTGGAGACTTGAGGCCTGTTTGTTTATGTTTCAGCAAAAGCAATAATAAACCTTTCGCTTTCCCGCCAAAATTTTAAATATTATCCAAATTTCAAAAGACAATATTATTTTTGAATCTACATGAATTTTGTATATTGGGAAACGTTTGAGGGGTTACGGCCTAAGAAAAAATCAGAATGCATCCATTGAAAGATTTGGATTTAGCCAAAAACAACAAGTAAAAGCCTATCCAAACATGTCCTTAGTTTCTTGCAACTTCATACACCAATCCTCTATATTCATTGAAGACTAACAAAAAAATAAAAGTAGAGAGATTTGAATGAAATGAAGATTCATAACAGCTCAGCAAGGACGGTGTATGGGCTCACGAATCAGCAAAGGTGAAGGACACAATCTCCGAATTAGTTAAATATTGCATTTCCCATCCTGAACTTGTAAATCATCTGTGATGTAATCAGTTCATAAAATAATTCTAAATGTTTCCACTCACAAATGAGAAATTCTGCATTTTCTTTTACTGAACCATCCAGGGGTGCATGATATTTAAAGTGCAATTCTTCGAATGATATATGGAATTTAGCCTCTATACATGGTAATTTCCCTCTGACCTAATTTCAATGCCAATGTACTTCAGTTCTGTTGTTCTTAAGGATCAACTATAGAATCATATGATGGGACATGAATGAAGCAATTTCACTAGAGTGAGAAAGAGATCGAACATATTGAATTACGAATCTCTGGAAGTTTTGCAGGGGTTATCTACCTTGTGCGAGAAGTTGTCTTCATATTGAAAATGAAGTAAAAAAGCATGAGCTATCTATCAAGATAAAGGCCTTAATCACATACTTTTTTGTGCTAATAGCATATCAATCCAGAGCAACAGCACAAATCAAAATAGCAGGTTAAGACTCACGAAATAAAGTGAAAGAATGGAAGAACAAAATAGTAATGCAGTAGCATTACCTCATCCTCATCAACTAGTCCATTTACTAGCGCACGATATATCTTTGAAATTTTCCTGACTGAACCGGGCTCCTTATTGGTATTTCTACATCAAACAAATTGCAGTTTCGTCAACAAAGCATTTCATTAGGAGGAAGAAAACAATTATCAGTGAGTATCTGCTGTTCTCATTCAACACAATGAATGAGCCAAAAAGAAGATCATCAATAGAGAGATTCCTTGTAACCTTTTCCCTCCAATGAGAGATGTTCCATCTGCAAAATAGATTGAAAGGCGAGACTTTGCAATCTTTGTCTTGGCACAAAGTAGCACACCTGTAACCATCGGAATGTTTCTTCACTAATCGACTCTCCATGATTTTGAACCAGCATCATAGAGGTAAGGTAACAAGTAAGAGAAACATTCAGTTAAATCTCTTTTGTAGTCATCACTCCTATCTCAAGTGATGGCCTCAATTTTAGTAGATACTTATTTACACCCACATGCTTCTCATCTCATGTTTAATCTACTCAAACAAACAATTGTTGTTTCTGAATAGTCAGACTAAGCCTTCCTTAAATACTATCAGCAAAAGAGACTAACCTGACGTGCCCCTTCCAAGCCGATGAACAGGCACAGGATGTGGTTCTCGTGATGCTAGCAAAGTGCTCTGCTCGCTTTCTCGCCATTGAAGCTGTGACAAGACAGTCCTTTGTTGAAATAGTCCTCCGGGTAAAACTTGCAGCCCAGAGGGCTTGTTGAGAGCAATCTACAAAAAGTGGTTCCAAAGAATGTTGATAACGAGATACATGAAAGAAAGCTATGAATAATAACTACATACACTCCAAAACGGGAAACTCTCTAGTCCTCAAAGCAGACACAGATTTTCCAAAGTCCTGTTTTCGTGTGGTTCCCCACAACACAACCCAAACTAAATTTGTGTTAGTAGCACCATCTGATGCTGCCGTGGTCCTTTCTAAAGCTCGTTCCCGTGTCGTCCGTGCTATATTTATGAATAACTTTGCTTCATATATGCATTGATGTTCCATAATAAGGAAAAGTAAGCAATACCTGCTCAGTTTTAAGACGGGTCTAACATCTAAGAGGTATTATGTCCACAATAATCAGGTGCCTAGGCAGCTCATTTATATACTAAAAAAACCTAAATTAGACATTCCCATCATAAGTAAACATGAACTCGAGTATGCAAATGCAATTACCATATTATCATCTTCATAGAGGATTTCAAGAGAGTAAGGTGCGTCAGGCTCTTTCCAAGGAAGCCTATGGTAGATTACTTCTAATCCTGCACTGGAAGGCACAAAGAAAAAAAAAAGAGAGAGAAAATTGCAAACGACGGATGTTATGTCCATTGAACTAATAATAGTAAAAATTACATAAATAAACATGACTATTCACCAAAAAAAGAACACCTTACGCTTTCGTATGGATCCGTCACGACTCTACCATCGACTTTAATCTGCAAAAGCAAACCCACAAGCACTTAAAAGGACTCGCGTTCGCCAACATTACGACAAACCACCAAACTAGATAGATTAACCGACTGAGGTTCGGTTCGGTTCAGTTCTTCACAGAAGAGGCACCTGTCCATTTTGAATCCGCTGCAACCAACTGCATCGCGATAAGCAAAAACACTCAGCGTATGAATTCCGATTGGCCAATCCATCAATGGAAGAGCAAAACGCAAAGCAGGAAAAGAACGAGACTCTCTAGTTTCTGCAATCCAAGGAAGGACAACTCCGATCAAAACCATGACGCATCGAATCACCAACACCGCAAGGTTCCTCGATTGGTTCTGGAACCCGATCCACACTGACGCGCGCTTTTCGTCCGCAATAACGAACCCTAAACGCTTCTTCTCTAAAAGCGCAACCAGGACAGTCGAGTAAAATCAAAATGGACGTACCCTTGAACGGGAGCTGAACTTCTGTACTTGCTCGAATAGAACTGAAGGAGCGTCATCTCTGCAGAGGATACGTGCTACTTCAGAACGAGTTCGAATTTCGAAGACGAAGAACGAAGCACGGAGAGAGAGAGAGAGAGAGAGAGAGAGAGAGGTGACCGTGATCGGAAGACGAAAGGACGTCCTTGTAGAGGATGCCGTCGTTGAGCTCAGGCCATGGAAGTCCGAACGTCCGCGGAGTCGCCGTCGTCATTGCCTAGAGTTTGGTCTTTTGGATTCGACTGGTATCGAATCGATCAATGCGAACTTACAAAGGACCAAATTATTTTATTGTGCTCGGAATATTGTTCGTCGCAATAACTGTCGGCCGTCATTCAACACGAACCCCCCATTTCACTGTCCGCTATTGTCCCTGTTACTTAAAGACCGATGGGTATCGTTCTTTCATCTTTTATTTGCATTCTTTATTGTCCTAATCTTCCCCGGGCTTTTCTAGAAGATAATAAGGTAGCAATTAGCGCAGTGAATATCACATAAATATGGACCTTTTCGTACCTCTCTTTGTCGGCCTTTTGGCTAAAGATCAAGTGTTAGTTTCTGGAACTCAATCAGTTTTAATTTCTATGGACCTTTTCATGAATAGAATCGCCAATTGTAGGCCTGATATTCGAATACATAGCTCATCTACAATGCGGCATATCCTTAGCTTCTCTGAGATCTGTCTTAGGCACCCCCACGTCAATTTCGTGACTATTTGCAAAATAGGTGCGACACTTCTAGAGACAATATTAATATTACATCATTACTTTCTAACATGCACTTACTTTCAGAAGATCTACATAATTTCACCCTTTTTTTTGGGGATTCGCAACCTAGATAAACCCTTCTAGACAGTGTCTCCGATTCTTGTTTAAATCTATTGAAAGGATGCTCGATACAAATAAGGAGGAGTTAAAGTACGACGCTTCTTCAATTACAGTACAATGAGGGATAATATGCTGAAGAATGTCTTCTTCAAAGATGTAAAAGAACTTAGAAATGTTGCAACCCCCTGATATGTACATGGATGAGGTAGTTCGGCTATTAACTCACTCACCGCCATTGCTCCTCACTCATCAGGATAGAGTTGCTGGGGCGATTATCTAGGTATGTCAGGTGGAAGGGACACCAAGTTAGCGAGCAAATCAATAGCACTTGGAAACAAGAATACATTACATAGGAAAAGCATCGTAAAATATCTTTAGTTTCCCTACTTATAACTCTGACCGCTCACAAGCAGTTTCAGTTTAAAAGCAGTACCTTCTCAAGTTTCAGATATATCAATGAATGAATAGTAATGTTAAACGAGCATGTATCTTTGAACAAATGTTAAGAAGAAAAAGGACTAAAGATAAAATTGGGTGGTCAATTCCCCCTTCTAAGATGAAGTTCACGAACAAATTTCACTTGTTCCACATAAAATGACATCAGCATCTTACAAAATTGAACTCAAGGCTAATAATCTGGTTTGCATGTTTCAATCAAACTTTTGCTGTAATGAGAATCTAGAAGAACTATTTTTGGAATGCAGGACTCTCCTCGTGAGCTTGACCCGACACCTAATGGAGCATATATTTAGAGAGGCAAATCAATGTGCTGACTCTATGGCCAAGTAGGGCGGATGCAGTGGGTACACCTTCAAATGGTTGCTGAACCATCGGCCGAGATTTTGAAGCTTTTGGAACTTGATTGTTGAAGCTGTTGCTTTCCTAGGACTGCTAGGATTTCCTAATTTAGGCTGCTAATGTTTTAGGACCTCATCCTCCTCTGGTGTACCGATAATAAAATGTATAATAGAGTCTTCCAAAACGTATTTGTGGCTCAAATGTGCACCAAGAGAGATGAGAATATTCACATATTAAGCCCAAGCATAACAATAAAAAACAGGGCTTGTGCTTTTTCGCCCTTCGTGTTTAACTTACCATTTTATCAGGACGAAATGAGCAAAGATGAGCAAAATCTTAGTTTAATCACCATCTTTCAACAGAACAGTTAGGCAGAGTATGACAACCTAGCCAGAAGTTGGTTCGCCATTTGATTTCTTGTATTCTGGCTTCAGCTCGTAGGTTCCTTGATTGGGCCCCTTGTTATTGTAGACACAGAGGTCCTTCAGGATATCTTTCAAAAATTGCTGCAGTGAGAAAACAGGGCATCAACTACAAATACGATTGGATCCACAAGTCACAAAAAATAGGTTCATCAGGTTTAGGAGGTTCAGTATCACTTCTTGCTTCCATAAAGTGCCTACAATTCTTTGGAGCAAAAATAACAGTAAAATAACAATGCGAGCACTTGCAAAAAGTCGATCCATCAAACTCTCTACCGGTGGGAAGTATACAAGCCTGAATGGCAGTATGATGCCCTAGTAGTTTTGAGGACAAAGCCCTATTGCTAAACATGATCTGCCGAAACAATGTAAAACCAAAACTAATGTCATACATGATTGGAGTGCATAGACAATGTCATTGATTATACCTTAAAATCAAGCATTGGAGCCTCAACTGAAAAGATTGAAGACAAGTATGGACTCATTAAACTAGGCCTTTATTGCTGCCACAATGAGCAATTTATAGAAAACAGCTTGTCGTGTAGCATATGTATGGTCCACTGATATAACTGCAGGACTACGTACAAGATATCAACCATCAAGCACGGCATTCAGTATGACTATTAAAAGTTCCTGACATGGTTCATCTTTGTATGAAGTACATAGATATATAATCACCCCTCACAGCATTCACCTAGCATACATACCGATACTGAGATAATTTAGAGCTAGGATGAAGGAGCTACATACTTCAGGTTGGTCAGTTTCTTGGATCAATTGTCTTAAAGTCCAATTTGGTTGCCTTTCAAAGAGCTTAAACATGATCTCCTCCATCTCTCCACGATCTCTTCTTGTTCTTTTCGTTTCTGGCATCTTAGTTGGCAATTTCTTCTTCTCCTATTTCACACAGGTCCTCATATGTCATGACAGATAAACAGTAGCAAAGGAGCATTCTCAGAGAATGGTAAGCAAAATAAAATATCCCAAACGGACACAAAAGCAGGAAAAAGAATCAACCACTAGTAAACAAGTCTAGAGGCCAGGGACCCACCATCAATGCCATAGTCCTCATAAGAGAGCCAGTATCATGGTCAATCACCTAAATTAAGGGATAGGAAACTTTAGTAAATAAAGGAGCGTCTTTATATCAGACTGTGAGGACAGCTGGACAAGATGAAGAAACCTGTATCTGTCTAGCTCTGTTCATACACTTGGTTGTTCGTTCACGACAGAGTTTTCCATAAGTCTCAATGTTCTCACCATGGGGCCTCATATCAAATTTGTGCAGGATCTTGCCCTCCACAGAGATTTTTCCTAAGCACAAACCGTAACTTTTTAGCTGGGATTGCTAGAGTAAGAGTCTGCAGCCAAATTCAGATTATCCTTCAAAATAGGAGCATAGAAACGTCAACTACCGTTTTTCACCAGAAAACACCGATATACTAGCATGCAATAAGTTGAATTGATCCATACACCGCAGTTTTCCGAGAATTGTTTAAAAAAAAATAATCTGAAGCACAACATGTTGGAGAAGGGTCTAAGACCTCAGCAGTCAGAAGACTCAGAACCATCATATGAAAGAATTTGAAATTCGACTAAGGTTGTAATTTAACAACTAAGTAACCGATGCCAACTTGATCTTAGATAAAGATTATTTTTATGTGTACCTTGAGAAGACTCTGAAAAAACAGACATCGGGATAAAGTCCTTAGACATCTCCATGGAGTACCGCCTTGGTACGTTTCCAGATTCAGTGGAAGCCAATTCCATTATAAACTGAGGTCATTTCACCAAATGTATAAATGCAACAGCACAAGACTCGGAGATAAAACTGCAAGCCGTGCTCATCAAAACATGATCCCCATCTATTTCCTTAAAGAACTAAATGCAAAGTTTTGTAATAAATATTAAGTACATGGCTGAGATTGAAACAATATGTTAATCCATTGATGAGGAAGATATCACAAAAGTAGCCAAGGCATCAAAACCAGAGCTGGGAGAACATTATAAGAGATGTAGCCAAGCTATTTTACCCTGAAACCAAATCAAAAGATTACTCCTCCAACTAGGAATCATTGGTCTACGTGTCTCCGTCCACAACGATTGATGATGGGTGCATATAATAAAGTCTTCCAGTTCTCCCAATACAGTATTATCAGTTCAAAACATTATCTTTCTTCAGCAGATTCAATCACATGGCAACGTCTACTGTCAAAAGCGCTATAGTCATTTTCCACTCAATGAAAGAAGTGCGAAACTTGAAAGCATTCCATGACATGTCATTCACCATATGCTATATAAGGTACACAAATTGGCAGTAAGCATGCCGGCAAGAAATTATATCAGAAGAGTCCAAAGTAAAGCAAATCTATCTGTGAGGTTTATACTCCTTGGGGCCCCTGGAACCTAGAACTGTAAAATTTACCCCTAGCATTGTAGTGAGTCTCCACCTTATCCATCACGGCTTTTGGGCACAGAGGAGAAGTATTTCTCCAATCAACAGGTCGCATATTAACATGTTTCAGGGGGGCTTACTCTAACTATTCATGCCAAATTTTACTTTTTAAGTAAAGGTAAGGTTTATCCTGAAGAACAAAATGTATAAAAGAAGGGGAAAACTACTATGACGCCGAAAGTAAACTCTTTTACACAAATGGAAAACTCCACTAATGGCGAAGTTTAGGACACTATTTTGATCAGAAGCTGGTGAAGTTAACATGATCACATCATGGCTGATTAAGCAGAGGAAATGGCCATAAATTGTAGGGAAACGGATGCAACACGCGTGCGCGAAAACACGTGAAATCATATGTCAAATGGCAATCTGAAACACCTGAAACCGAAACCCCACTGGAGACCTCACATCGAAATTTCCAGTGACGCAAACCGGAATGCGAAGCAGACAACAACCACAAATCGCAAACTCGGCGCAATACGAAGACTAGACACCCCAACCAATTCATATCAACGTACGAACTAGAAAACGCCGATCAAGGCCAGAAGCCTATAACAATACCACGACCAAATTCGCTCGACAACTCCCCAGAGATAAACACGTGAAAATGCAGGACACAAACGCGACGAGCTCACGCAATGCAACTCCACGCAAAACCGGCATGCCCTAGACACTAACGCGACGACGAGGGGCTAGAAATAAAAAATCCAAACCACGAGCCTCAGAAACTACAACAACAACAACAACAACAACCTCGCGGCACACGCTCGGCATATACTTCGAAGCATACGTACCTCGGAGTTATCTTCGCCGCCGTGAAGAAGATCGACGGAGAAGATGACCTTGGCGACGGGGACGGAGGGCGCGGCGCCATCTCCGCCTCCTTCGAAGGCGGGCGGGCTCCCCGGGGACAGAGAACGGGAGACGACGGGCGGGCACTTCATGAGCCATATCGATCTCTCCGCTTTGCTCGTGTCGACGAACCCGCTGCAGGCATAGCTAGCGCTCGCATTGTCGCTGGTGGGAGTGGTGGTTTTGGTGGTCCCGCCGCCGGGGCCGTCGCTGCCGGCGGTGCCGTTGCTTCGTTTGTCGTCCATGGCTCGAGAGGGAGTGAAAAAAAATGGGTGGAAAACTAGAGAGAGAGAGAGAGAGAGAGAGAGAGAGAGAGAGAGAGGAGGCAACGGCTTTTCAGAAATTCTCTCCAACAAACTTGACACCTCGGACCTCGCCCCGAACTTTTTTTTTTTTTTTTTAAAAAGCCACAACTCTAGTCCAGTCCAGATTTGCCCCATTTTTTTTGTGTTAATATAAAAAAAAATCCTAAATTGATACACATGTGATAAATTTATCCTAAACTAATTTTTTGACTATCAATAACTCTAAACTGATACACCTGTGACAAATTTACGCCAAACTAATTTTTTGATCATAAAAAACCCCAAACTTGTGCATTTGTGACAGATTTACCATCTGTTAGTTTCCATTAAATTGGATTAGTACCACGAAAAATCATAAATTGGTACACCTGTGACAAACGAAGGATAAAACCCAAACTGATACACTCGTCAACTGCCACGTGTTATCAAATTCAACAATTTGATGATAAAATTTAACTAAAATTAAGGATAAATTTATCATAAGTGTATCAGTTTGGGGCTTTTAGTGATTTGTCATAGATGTATCGGTTTGGGGTTTTTCATCGTATTAACCCATTTTTTTTGTTTTTAAAAACTGCAACTTTAGGTCCAATCCCAAATCTACCCCAAAATTTTTTTGTCAAAAAAAAAAAACCAACGTTAACTCTTGTTTGAAATCTACCTCCCTCAATTGTCCCTAATTTTCATATCAAAGAACGGTTTCGTTTTGGAGATAATTTTTCACGTCGTATTGCTGATGTGGATTTGTTATCGATGTGAGAATGCTACGTCAAATAACTAATGACGATTTTTTGATGGACAGTTAACGAGGCAAATTTGATACTATATTGAAAGTTTGTGATTTTTCTGAACAAAAAAAGTACAGGACGAATTTGAGATTAGAGTTAAAGTTGGTGATTTTTTTAGAAAAAAAAAAATGAGGCAAATTTGGGATTAGAGCTAAAGTTTGGGACTAAATCTAAAGTATGGGGTCTTTTAGGAAATTAAACCTCACACCTAGTCCAACTAATACAAGCATGGCAAATTTTCTCCATCTCAGCTCTATTCCTAAGGGCTAAATTTTCAATCATAGGTTTCGTTGGAAAATAAATGGTTTGAAAAATATTTTCCTAAAGGTAATTGCTTATATCGCTTTATATAATTAATTGATGGAAATTGTTTTCATTATCAACAACAATTTATACTTAAATATTTTCGTGAACGATGAAAAAAATATTTTCGTTCATTCATTTTTATAAAAGATAGAAGTGATTGTTTTTTAAAAAATACTTTCAAAATCATTCATTTTCCACAAAATAAAGGAAATCAAAATCTCCGATTCTCAATAAACTCTAATTACCCTTCCAAATGTTGGACGACGGATCTTTACTCGAATGAAACTTAACATTTTCCGCTTATTAGATTAACTTGTTCAGATTTCGACCAAAAAAAAGAAGATTAACTTGTTCAGATCGCACTTTTCGGAACTACTAAAGCTGAACCTAAGTACCTCTCAATTGTCATGTCCAGTAATAAGGCCACCATTTTTCTGAAGCCTCGCCCAAACTAGTGAGAGATTGCAATGATTCAAATCCAATAGCGTCGCACATATCCGATGGTGTTGATTATGGCGCCGTAGCTCGGCCGTTCGAGTGGTCGCACGAGAACTTTCTCATGCGCTGTCAGGAGAAGCGTAATGCGCATTGCTGGCCGAAATGGCCCACCCTTAATCTGCTTCTCTCAATTAGAGTACAACGAGCCAAATTGAAAGTACTATTCATACGGCTGTCAAATCTATCCAAATACCACAAACACTGGCCAAGATTATATATTGAGAAGTTGAGTAGGAGTATTGCATAATCGATCTCCATCTTAAATGTTGTAATCGAGTAATTTGATATACTTGAATGGCGCACTCAAGATATCGTCTGGATAAATCGAAATTACAGAATGGTCAGGTGAAGACAAGCGAGGACGCCCAAATATAAATAAACAAAGAACCGCAATCGCGTAATTACATGACTCATTGTTGCTCAATTTGGCTTGGCCTGCACTGCAATCTTTGTAGCAAAAATGAAGATGCACAAATGACAGAGAAACGGTAGCTCCACAAGCCCTCCGAGAGCTAAGAACCAGAATTTACACCGAGACTTGGATCAGACTCATTGCCACCAACAGAATTCTGCTTCCTCTCTGCCTGAAGTGACCGGCACAAAGATTCTAGCTTCTCTTTCTGATTCTTCAGTTTCTCCATTTGTTTCTTCGAGCGTTCCCGCTGATCAGAGAAAAGAAGATTCTTATTTCTAATATACCACCTAATTAAGCAACAGCTAAAATGACTATAAATCTCCTAATTTCCTGCGCATCCTATGAGGTAACATCATGTCATAACTCAAAAGTTTGAAACTAAGCTAAGCGCTAGCCTTGTCATGAGGAATGAAAAGAAAAAAAGGTGCCTAAGCTAAATATGAGCGCCGACAATCTCCTGCAACTACTGTTAGGGCTTCTCAATGCTCATCAGAAGCCCACAAGAACATCTGTCAAGTATGATACGCCAAGACGAGATGTGGGATGACTTTCCAGTAAACTGACAGGATTAACCACCATGTTCTAAAGGCAGATCCTAAACACATGAACAACCCAACTAAGACTGGCATGCACGTCAAGCAGCTAAGGACATCCTCCCTGTTTTCCTATGTAAGTCCTTCCTAGGTCCTATGAAAGCTCAAATGCATGAGATTTGGCAGTTGAGAGAGAACATGGACCAGTAGCCTGGTTTGAGCAACCGAGGCTGTAGAATAGGCTCTGTGTCTATATTCTAGGGTAAGATTATTTCCATAACTTAAAGGTCGCTGGGAAAAAGACGTACACAAAAGAATCAACGTCAATAATATGAACTGGGTAATCTGTCGATAGATAGGGGTATGTACAGCATAGTCTGAATCAAAATGTTTGTTTAAGCTTACAGAAGCCCTTATTGATATTCCTCCACAATTTTGAAAAGTAGAAAAAGAAAATTCAAAGTTTAACAAAGAAATGAAAAAAAAAGAAAAATTCTACATGGCTCTACATGTTGATCTTTGTATGTTTTAAAAGATCTCAAGTTCTTGACATATAAGTTCATTTTCACATGTTACAACAAACAAAAAAAGCAAAATCCAAAAACAGAGGTCGCGCAAACACACCTAAGCTTGCAATGAGCCGTCATTGTTGCTGAAGAATGAACTAAGAAAAGGAAAAACAAATGTAACAGATGTAACGCTCACCTCGTCAACAAGTTCTATAAGTGTAATGTCTGATTTCTGACACTTGTTCTTCAGGAATGCATTTTCCTTCTTGAGATCCTTTATTGATTTGGCCATCTGATTTTGTGGTGCAGACAGGAAAAACAATAATGATCAAGTCCAAGTAGTCGATACGCTGATCTGGAACATAGGAAATAAAAGAATTTGTTAGTAAGGTGTCATATAACTCATACCTTCTCGATCTCTTGCTTAAATGTTTCAAAGACTTCGTTGCTCTTTGCCAGTGCATCCTGCACAATTGAAACAGATTTAAAGACCCAAGATGAGTTCGCTTTGTGACGGATAGCATAAATACAGATAAAACCTTCGAGAGTGAATGAAGATATGGAAGTGGCAGGTAAGTTTCTTATAATGTATCTGTTCCCTTCACAGGATCCAGCAGACAAATTAGAGGCAGAGCACCCATAAATAAAAGGAAGGTGCAAATTGAGCAAGTAAAGGATCCATAAAAATAGCATCCAATGCCAAATAGTTTAGTTACCTCACCAGTTGGAACTTTAGGTAAGATGTGCTATTTTGTCCTTTTTCCTTTCCCTTTCCTATTGTGGTATAAGACAATGCCCAGTGGTTCCCAACTCTCGTCCACCCCAAAGGTCCAGGGTTCAAAATTCTAACTGGGCTGATGATCTCAAATTCTTCCAAAAACCCAGTGGCTCCAAGGGAGGCAAGTTTTCTCGGTGCTTAATTTGTCTAGAAAAGGTAGCCCATAGTTTAGCTGCTAGTTTCATTCAGTTGATAAGGAGTGATATTGTTTGTTCCCTTGTGCTGGGATATATCTTGAGTTGTTTGTTGTCATTGCTTGACTGCTGGTATAGGTACTTGTTTCCTAAGATAGGAGTTGGGTTGCTTGAGGTTTGTCCTATGGAGTTGTATGAGAAGTTACTTGGCTTGTATTGGAGAATCCATTCATTCCGCAGCAATGGGAATGCTTAGCTTACTCATAAAATAAACAAAGCAGCCCATAGTTGGCCAACAATTCTCACGTTTCCCAAAAGAAGCAGGTTAACACTTGATAGTACAGTTGTATCAATCTCAAATATAACTTCTACAAATTTGGCTGGTATGAAATTAACCCAGTTAAAATGTGGAAAAAAGTAACAGCAAACATGCCTCATAAAAACACAGTGCTAAGATCCACCTGAAATGCATGCAGCAAAAGAAAGCGACAGCCAACATTATTTCTAATATAACAAAGTAATTGAACAGTGAAGATCAGTGCAATCCAAGTCAGACAAAACAATGAAATCAAGCATCCAGTTATCCCTCATATAAACAGTAAGTCACATGAACACCATTCAATGTAGAAGTTCCTCACTTTAGGCATTTCCTTAAGGCGAAATAATTGCCATTAGGCAAAAAACACCTTCACTCAAGCGACTGCAAATGTTGGGAAACAAGTGATAGAGGTAACCTGGAATTGTTGAAATTTCTCTCCGTCTGCTGTCAACTGTAACCGCAAGTTTTTCTCAGTTTCCAGTAGCTGTGATACTTGTTCAGCATATACTTTCATTTGGGACTGTTCCTGAATCACTTTCTCCTCATGCTGCTTCATTTTCAAATCAGCAATCTGGAGTTCTAGACTTTTCTGCTTTAACTGCATATTCAAGTTTCAAGCCACAAAATTTAAGCAAAGTCCTTCAGAAATGGAGACTATAAATCTCAGAAATCAATCAATTTTAAAGAACTTTACCTCCTGTTCATGATGTTGCTCAGAAAGCACATACTGCTCAGCTAGCTGCTTCAACTCAATTT